GCTATGATGCAATGTTTTCCCATTTCAGACCATGTGTCATTCCCTTGAGTATTATTTCTTTGTTTACTAGGAATGCTTTTCATCTGTTGTATAATGTTTTCTCATATGAGTCCTTTATGCGTCTTTACGTGTTACTATTAAAGAAAGAAATAATGCTCAAGAGAATAACACATGGCCTGAAACAGGAAAACATTTCACCCAGTGTACAAAGGTCAATACTTGGTTTTGCAATACRGTATACTTATTCTATTTTCACGATACGATCTTCCATTGCATGATRCTGGCGTCACGCCCACCGACTGAAATCAACCGAGAGTCATCATGTAGAAAACGAAYACAGGTCACGTGAGCGCTGTGTCCCTTAGCGACGTGGGGCTTGGCCTGTTTGGAAAGAAAGGTCGTTTGATAGTGACTTACTGACGAGATATACGTCCATTTTTTTTCAACAAGAAAACCCGTAGAAAAAACCCTTGAAGCACAGGAGAATAACCAAGCAACTCTACTCACATATGACACCGAGCTCGGATCGCGATGATGAGAAGCGAGCCTGGGTATTTGCTATATCCAGTACTGATGTCTATATCAACTATACCAAGAAATGAATATTACCTTGGTGTTAGAGCAAGGATAACTGAATAGGTTGACGTCACCAAAGTCATCAGCCGTTGCTAGGAGACGCTTAGAGTGTGACCTGTCCACGGCATTGATGTCTGTCCCATCTGAACCAGCCGGCCAAATACCTGGAGGAAACGGTACACATCTGGCATTACTGAATATATTATTGAAAATCTTTTTTGCGGACTACGGGCCATTCTCTTGAGTATTATTTCTTTCTATAGTAGGAAGGCTTATGGTGCAATGTTTTCCCAGTTCAGACCATGTGTCATTCCCTTGAGTATTATTTCTTTCTTTACTAGGAATGCTTTTCAGCAATGGTGCAATGTTTTCTCATTTCAGACCATGTGTCATTCCCTTGAGTATTATTTCTTTCTTTGCTAGGAATGCTTTTCAGCTATGGTGCAATGTTTTCCCATTTCAGGCCATGTGTCATTCCCTTGAGTATTATTTCTTTCTTTACTAGGAATGCTTTTCAGCTATGGTGTAATGTTTTCCTATAGATCCCTTTAGAAAACTAAAGAATTTCAATATCCTGATAAATGGAAACCTATCGTTATGTCCTCCAAAAATTGAGCTGCATTCCGATGTGATGCGAGGAGTCTCTTTCAGACCACGTGTCATTGCCTTGAGAATGAGATTCTTTGTTTCATTTGCATTCATATTCATGTGTCTTCTCTTGTTCAAGTGTTAAACAAAGAAATATACTCTAGGGAATGACACGTGGTGTTCTGGTGTTCTAGCAGTACTTACCAACCACAGGATACCCAAGAATACAATTATGAGTTTTCCAGTCAGTATTGCGCATGCTCTCTGACGACGTGATACGATCACACTTCAAGGCATCCCCTGGTAATAAAGACAAGACATTTTATGAAATATCGGGAAAATCGAGATCGATGCAACGATGAACATCGTGAGGYTACTTACAGAAAAGCAACTCGTAATCCCCGGATGTACTTTGAAGCTGGGTGCTGTCCGCTGACCAGTCGAGGTGAGTGACGAAACTAGTATGTCCCTGAGGAATTTATTGTAATAGAAATGAATGAGCATCAATCCATCCCAATCATTCTCCAGAAAACTCAGTACCACTGCCGTCATCGTCATCACCATCATCAACATCATTACCACCAAAGTCAGTCATCACCATCCCCTACATTATCGTCATAATCATCAACACAACCAACGTCAGTCATCATCATCATCGTCGTCATCATCATCATCATCATCGTCATCATCATTGTCAACATCATCATCATTGGCATGATCGTCATCATCGACATCATCATGATCGTCAATGTTACTTATAAGAAAGTTTTAGATTTACGTTCACGGCAAACGTGAAATGTCAGTTGACCAGTAAAAAATTCTTTTAAATTACTGAAAAAGAATCGCAAAAAAGTCCAAGTAGTAGAAAAACAAAAGAGTATTTGCGATTGGTGAGAAGGTTTGTAAAAGGTAAAGTAAAATACAGGAAAACTATGAAAACGTGGTCACGTTTGCCGTTTGCGGGAAGAAAAAAAGTCAATCTAAAACTCTTTATTAATCCAACTTTGCCTCCAGCTCAAAATACCTTGCTTTACATATACATTACTCACGGTGCATTTGCCAAGTAGTTCGATACTTTTTCCTCCATTCAGCAGTTTGAACACATAAATGTTATTATCATGAGAGGCGATAGCGAGATAAACTCCATCTAAAACAATCAACAGAACATTAAATAGTTTGAACAAGAGAAAATGAACTAAGAGAAGGAATCTCTGGTAGCTCATTATCTCTCGTCATTACTCTATGCCTTTCTTCCTTCTGTCTCTCCTTCCCCTCTACCTTTTTTCCTTCCTACCTACTCTAGTCTCAGCCTGTTTTTCTTCTTTTCGCCACCACATTGCAGGGTTCGTACAGATTCTTCAGTGAAAATTTCCAAAACTTTTCTAGAAGTTTCTCAAAGCCTATCAACTAAAATAGTTCCAAACCACATAAGCAAACAAATAAAGTGAAATTCATGGAAGAAAAACATTCAACATACAAAGCAATACAAAATATGGCACCATATTAACATTTATTTCTCTGTTTATTTCACTAAAAAAATTAACATCGGCGTTTTTAATTAATACAGCGAAAAGAATTCTTTGTAAGGTAGGACCTGGGCAACCAACAGAAAAAATCATAACTATTCCAGAGTAACTTTTCCATAGCCCAGTGGTCGAAAAAGAAATTTTCCAAAACTTTCCAGGTCTTGGAAAAATGCATTATTGATTCCCAAAACTTTCCAAGACTTTCCAAAACCCGTACGAACCCTGACATTACTGACATCACTTACCTGGAGAAAATTTCAGTTCTGATATCTTTTCTTTGGAACATTTTTTGTTCGTGAGCAGCTCTCCCGTCGAAGACCGAACAATAGCGAAACTGATAAAGAAACAAAGTGAATAATAGGGGATTGTCTCCCAGTTCAACAACCTATCCCAATCTGGAGGCATAATACTAACATACTAACAAATCACTCATGATTGTAAGCTGCACGGCTGCTACTAGCGCCCTAATATGCCGCCCGTAAAGTCCTCCACTGATCTTGTAAAGCGCCATTGAGCTCCTGGAAATGGCGCTATATAAATTCATCCCTTTACCTTTTTTTGCCCTTTTTAATTCAAAATGTTTTGGTACAGACAAAGGGAAGCCATTTCAATGTTACGGACTGTACGTTTCCCACTCATACAATAACCATTTTTATGGGAAGCCATTTCAATGTTACGGCCAATCGTACCGCGTATGTGGTTTAATTCAGTACGGTATGTTTCCCACTCATACGGAAACCGCTTATAAGTTTCATTATCTATAAGGTGTATAA